CAGACAGTAGCAAATTGGCTGCTGGAGCCATCTAAAACTACGTGGAACCAACTGGAAAGATGCATTTTTCTGCTAAGCTATGAAGGCCTCACAGCTAAATCTGGCAATTACAGGACAGGAAAGATAAAGTTGCCCACCCAGTAGCTCGTAATTTAACCCAATATATCCAGTCTTGTTACATACATTCATGGGTCTTAAATTAATGCAGAAAACAGTGAGTACGGTTGAGACACTCCTTTTTTGCTTGCTCAAGGGCTTTTAAACCAAGAGCAGCACATTATATAGAACAATTGGTTTTGTTTTCAATAAGGTTAATACCCTTTCCTAAAGGATCACAAATAGCCCAAGTCAGATGTTGAATTCATAAGCAAGATACAAGGGTCATCTGAAAGACTGCAATAATCAAAATCTTATAAAGGAAAGGCATAGCTATATGAGCTCCATATCCAAGTGACATTCAAATTTTGCATATAAGATTTTTCAATAATATATAAAACCAGAAAGTGACTTTTAAGACCTGTTTTATATTAAGGAAGTATTGCAGTAGGTGTGATAAATATTATAATATGGAATTTCAAGAGGACTGCTTCTAGGACCACTGTGCTCACTCTAGCACTGATTGTAAAAGAGCTGTGCTGTACTTGCTTGAGAGCATGATACGCTTGTGGTAGCACTGCTAGCTGAAGAAACCACCTTCAGAGGACTCAGAGGACAAAGCACTTAGACCCTTCCCTGCACTGCTTACAAATGGATAAACCCACACTCCTCCTCCTTCACCTCCCAGCCCACACTCTCCCACAGCAGACAAAAGAGACATTGTCCATGTCAGGTTGTGCTTAAACAATAGAAACTGAGAGAGAACCCTTCCCTGCAAGCTCACAGATCTATGAAGACAACATTATACAACCTTCCTATGCTTAGTCAAAGCAGGGGGAATTCTCCAAAGGTCAACACGTTTTTGTGAAATTTGGTTGTGGATCCCGTATTGTTCCTCTTTCCACCTACATGATGATGGGGCCTCTGCTGTAGGTTGCGGGAGAGCAAACGCTAAGAAGGTTTGCTGTTAGGGTTGAATGACCATCTTATATTTGTCCTTCAGAGGAGACTTAAGCATGACATACTCAGTGGAGTCTAACACAAGGTCAAACTCCTATTGCCCACACTTGGCTCCTCTGGTCTTTTTTAGCTGGTGAATACTACAGATTTGCTCTTTCTGCTTTCTACGCTGGTTGTGCACTGCTGAATGGATCGTGTTGAAGGGATACACTTTCATTTGCCCCTGGACTACAAAGCATCTGGTTTTGGGCATTACTTCCCTTTCCACAGTCTAAATCTACTTTTCAACACAGCACCCTCACATCAGAAAAGAGGACTCTGGATGAGGTATATCAACACTGCCTCTTCCCAGCACCGCCAAGGAGGACAGAAAAGGAGAGTCTTTCAAGTTTTCACAGTACTAGAGGCCAAAGGGAAGAAAGTATTTTAGTTTTATAGGAGAGCAAGCACTCTCCTATAAAACTAAATTAATTAGATACTTACTAAATTAATTAGATACTTACTGGTTAAAAAAAAAAAAACAAACAAAACACTGACAGAAAAACATGTAAGGTACCTGTGGCACAGAGAGTACTGTTTGGACAAGGGGTTCAGGAAAGGACAGATTATAAAGTGGCTTTCTCTGGCATGAAGAGGAAGAAAAGTAATGTTTACCATCTGTGAAACATGATGAGATTAGTTATTGAACCAGTATTTCTGAGTTTCTGGGGTTTGTTATCAACTCAAGAGCTTTCCTTTTCGGAATCGCTTTTAGGAAGTATTTTGTTTGGTGACTACCTGAAAAAGAGCTGAGGAGAGGGGACTAGTTTGTAAGGAATTTTTCCAGCAAGGAAGTGAATATTCCACGCTTCTATCTACATCTGATTCGCTGTGTTCAATCGTTCTGGTGTTCAGTGATTGTTGACTATCACTGGGGAGTTTTTCATAATGGAAGATGAATATAATGCCTCAGGGATTTTCCCGGTTTTGTGCTGCCAGAGGGTACTCACTGTGGGCACAGTGGGATGTATCAACTGCCTTTAGGATTTCCTCAGCTCTGGTTTCAGAACCATTCAGTTCATAAATTTTAGACTGCAGGGAAATTATGCCTCATGATGTGAACAAGAGCGTGCCTGGTTAAAGACTAGGTGAGAATATTATGGGAAGTTTCTTTCAAGGTCAAGTCTTGTAAATATAAATTTTACATACTATAAAATTTACAAAGACAAAAATCATTAATTGTTTAATGATTTTTTCATGTAGGTTCCTAAACTGTATGTTGCAATGGGATGTATATAAACAGTAGGGTTTCCTCCTGGATTGAAGCAATTACTTATAAGAACTTGGCCTTTCAAAAATATATGTTGTTTTGTAGGAGAACAGCCTTATTGAATAGAAGCCTTAATATTAAAAAGATGGGTATAAGCACCCTGCTTGTGGCACACGCAGTGATGGCTGATGACTTGGCTGTATATTAAAAACCACTCGGTGTGTTTGGATTGACTGCTGTTTTTACAGAGATTGCTCCTATGTACTGTAGCTCATAGGCTGTCGGATTTTTTTTTATTTTTAAAGATTTTACAGAGTGCTTAGGAGAGCACTGTAGGTATAGAAGCATTTCAGAGAGAATTGGATGGCAGGATGAAGGTTATTGAACTTGTAAAAATGCTGTGAGTCTAGGTTTTCCATTCCTAATACGTACGTCATCTGCATAACTGCATGGGCTTTGTGATATGATTATTTAAAAATCTCTTTGCAGCAGCTCTGTAAAAGGTTGACCACGCAAGGCCGTGTGTGCTTACAGTTTGGAAGCATAGACCTCTGGAAGTAACATCTTTCTGTGGAAAGATGGAAAGGGTGAATGCTAAAATATTTTTGGGACAACATGACAAAATTTGAATGTGAGCTTATTGCAGTGACAGGCAGATTAAAAAAAAAAAATAAAAATAAAAAAAGAGGAGCTCCAAGCTCCACAAACTAAATAGCAGTAGCACATCCACTGTAAAAATAGGGTGGGAATAGTTTTCTACATTGCGGGGGGGGACAGGAATTGAACCACTGAATGAATACTCCTTAATCAGCAAAAAAAATTAGAAATTTTTTTAGGCTCAAGTCTGAACCCAATAAAACCTGATGGAAGACTATCTTCAGGTCACCTGCTATGTATTTTTAGTGATCTCTCAATATCATACAATATTTTAATTTGACTAATACTCCTATTTTGACTAATGCTCCTACCACAGCATTTCCAAGTAGTACCAGGATGTCCAGAGATATACCAACTAAAGAAACTCCTCAGTTTTTAATGATTTTTTTTCTCCTAAAAAGATCTGGTTTAAGTATAACCTTAGGGACAGGGTTATAAAATGCAGATGTGTGTTTGATTCATACCTACCACTAGTCAAAAAGAATACCAGAGTTACAAGGCAATGTCCTACCCAAACTACGTGGCTGTCTTCAGCTGGAAAGAATGACTCCCATAAATCTTTTTCTAGTTATGACAATGGAACAAATACACTCAGATGTCACACTACCCAGCAATATTACCTTCCTCTCACTTAGAATTCCAACCAGGAATCAGCAAACTTCACCCTTGGATAGACTCATAAATAGTTAAGTACGCTCTATCAACAGACGATAAAAGGGAAAAAATAACCAATAAAACTACATAATGAACAACCAGTGAACAAACAGAGCTGTAGCACTCAAACACAGTCAAGTTATTGCCTAGGCTATTACAAGAATTTTACAGTAATATCATTTGATTTTCTAGCTTCACGGCAATTATATCAAAGGTCTTTTAGTCTTCTCAGATGTGTATCATTGCTTAAATTCTATTATGAAGTCAAGTGTGGGAATGAAAAACAACAAAAAGTTGTTGAAGGTCACAGATAATCGTGTTCAATAGCTTATTTGCAATTTTTTATCAGTTTTCTTTAACTCCTGGAAGTCAACTGATGGTATATTCTGCTTCCTACCCAAAGGATATTGTACAGTACAACTTTTTTTTATTGCCACTATCCATAAGAGAAGCTCAACTTCTTGATTCTGAATGCAAATTAGAATTTGCACAGTTCAGGTTAAATTGACTTTGGCTTCATCTCACAACATCTGAAATCATACTGCAGTTCTCCGGTGCTTTTAGGACATAATTAGATAAATTCATAGATTAAGCTGCTCCTGGCAGTACTTGCTCTTCTGTGAATAGTGAACCAATTCCATAGCACATTGAAATACAAACTGTAGTTGCGATACCAAGTTGGCAATGCGTCTTTGCTGCCGATTGTTGTGTGCCATATGGACCCACTTAAGCCTCTTCCTCTTTTGGCTCTTGAAGAGAAGGCAGCCATTGTGGCCAGTCATGAGGTCAGTTTGGAAACCAAATGGCCCAGGTGCAAAAACTTCAGCAGGGACATCTGCATCCACGACTGGGTTTTTTGGCTGGATTTATCCCTGCCCATATTTGGACATGATATCTGCCTTCTTGCGTAACGTTACCATTTTCTGCCAAATAGAGCCCAGTAAGTCTGTTCTAATTTGTATTGTAAGTGATCACAAAATACACCCAGTATATTGCTTTTTTTGTATCCTATTCTGCTCTTATACTTCAAATATGAAAAGAGCTAACGCTCTTTTTTTCAGACTATTTCTTCTTTCAGATAATGCATCGAGAAATTCAGGTAAAAGTTCTCACAAACTCAAATATGGATATTAATAATCTTTTTTTTTTAAAAGTTTGATGCCAGCCACCAAGGAAAGTCGAGATACTCAGAGGAAAGATTAGAAGTGTAATTATAGTGATATTGATACGGCTACAGCCTCATACTTTGTACAAAATGCAAATGCTTTATCCTTTGATACACAATTCTTAAAAAGGCTAGATAGATGCATATCAATCAAGCTTATTTTGTGCTCAACAGTATCACAGTTAACAAATATCTACTGGATATTTAAATTATACTTACATTTCCTGCCACAATTCTCTCTGAGGCCCAGATAATCATACTGGTCTCTTGTTTCTCAACTCAAAAAATATGCTATATAAGAAAAAAGAAAAGAAAAAAACAAATCAGGCCCTTATCATTGCAGGGGTGTAACACCATTTGAAGAGCAAGCAAAATGCATTCTACACTAACTCGCGTGTTTTATATATTAATTCCATCCTTTTGGTACATTTCCTTTTTTGTCACTTTTAAAACCACACACCAAGTTTAACCTTCAGTTTGGAGAAAGCACAGATAAAAGGTACCCGTGTAAAATCTTAACACAGTCTGATCCACCACTTCTGTATTGTTCTAACAGCAAGAAATGCAAGAGTCAAGGTCACAATATTTGACAAAGACTTTACAAAATTATTAAATAAAAGACATCTCTCTTCAAATATACAAAATAGATGTATGAGGGATGTGACACACCAGAATTATTCTATTCTCATTACTGTAATATATAGTATACTTCCAGTGTTATATTATGCTTTGTTATAGCGTTCTTAATTTCAAAATGGATTATGCCAATCCTTTCTCTGTTCTGATCTGGGGAAAAAAGCATCTCTTCAATGCAATTCATCTTTGCCCTGCTTTCCTCTATCTTTTGTGCCAAACTGTTACACAAAAGAGTTTTGTCACTGTGGTTATTTTTCCTGACATAACATATGTCTACTGGACGTAGCATCTACAGAAAATTCTGACTCGACTCCAAAGCACTAACTTACACAAAGAAAAATTATAGGACTAAGGAGCTTTGCATCAAGCTCGAGACTGACGTGAGCTGCACCAAAATGAAGTTCTGCTAGCAAAAGGAAGTGCCACGTTCCCTGCCTAGGGTTAGCTTTGAGTCTCTGCAGCAGCAGCCTTAACCCCACCCACAGGCCTTCAAAAAATTAGGGTTTGGCAGGAAAAAGATTTTGTAGCCAGCTGCCTCCAGAAGAAAACCCTCTGCAAGAATGCTTTTTCCTGCCAGGAAAGAAGTAAAATGCAGGTGACAGTCTGGAATGTTAGTGAACTGGCAGTTATTTGACATTGAGACTTTGTCAAATGACTGACAATAGATTTCAGAAATATGTGAGGAGTAGCAAATACATCCAAGCCTTTGGAGAGCCCTAGAATCTATTTGTAGGTATTTTATACCAAGGATATGGAATAAATGCATCCAGAAAATTATTTAGAATTCCAGACACACATGCAGTACTGAGGGGCATCTCAATAATTCCTAGAAATCACACAGGTTTCTTTGCTTTGTTTTTATGTATGGATTCTGCCTTATATTAGCAATCAGCTGTTCCACTCCAGCCAGTGCACCTCAAGGCTGCCCAGCACTCCTTCAATGATTACAGGGTCACAGCTTGAGCTTCATGCTTTAAAACATCATCTAGAGTATGCACCAGTTACCTCATTTAGTATTTTGTACAGGACTCTATATAAACGTTTGTATGTACATATGCTACTTAGATTCTTCCCCATTTTGTACTAATAAATACATAGCAAATCCAAACTATTTGTCATTTCACAATGTTAAGGAACTGCTAAATGCCTCCTTCGTATTATGTCACATAACCTGATAATAATTTTTAAATGTAATTATCTATAGGTGACAACACTGATACAGAAACAGTGGGATACTGATATCACAGCATGTTGAATCTCAAAGAATATATTCAGCTTCGTTGAGCTGCTGTCAATGGCAGCGAGCAAACCCAGCACCATTTTTTTCCAAAATGGCACAGAAATGTCCGAGTCCCCTCGATGCTGTACACATGGAGATGTTTGCAATGGTCTTTTTAGTAATGGTTTTTAAGTAAGCCTTCTTGAATCCACCAATTTCACACTGGCTTCAGACACATCTGGAACTACTGTATTGCATATTAAAAAAAAAAAAAAAAGCAGAGCTCACCAAAGTACTACTGGTCTCTTTATATTTCCTAGAAAACTAAAGAAATTAAATGCCTGACAGAATATATGACATAATGTGTTTTAGTTACAGCCATGAGATTACTCCTTTTTCCTAGTGTTCTCTTGTTATCAAGTTATCAGCTGGGACTTTTCACCCCCACACAATCAACCAGTTGTAACTGGGAACTCTGCCTTCTCCTCCCCACAGAACAGGAACATTTTGCTGGCTTACCTATAACAAGTTATTTAGAAAAACAAATTGTTTGCTCAAAGATAGAAAGCAAAGATCAACCTATAATATAAATTATTTATGTCATGTTTAATTCTATGTTAAATTTGCATTTATCAAATCACTACAATGCCCCTTGGAGTGTTTCAGGCTTACCTATAATTGGGGAAACATGGATAAACATCAAGTTCTTCTGTCTTCATGATCTCTGTGTTAATACAGTGCATTTACAGTTTATGTGACAGATAAATTCTTCCTTCTGAAGAGAAAATCTGGCAGAAATGACAATGAAAGAACCTGTAAATTTATCCTTAAAATAAGTAGAAAGACAGAACTGTATTTAATCATATATATAAAAACAAAAGTGATTGTCATGTTCTTAATAAGACCAAACATATAACAAGCTTAAAGGAAATCTCTCTACATCAGACTCTACAAAAGACTATGTCAGCACAAATGTAAAGGATTTGGGGTTTTGAGATAAACTAGCCTTGAACAATAATCTTCTGATAAACCTCAAATTCCAGATGGTCTTTGTGCATTTCAAACAACAGCTGTATTCATACAGCATCATGATGAGGTATCTGGCTTATTTTTAACAGTAAATGTAGATAGCGGTTCAGTTTTGATATTACTACAATAATATCTAGCATAAATATTATTTTTAAGAGAACTTGAGAGCTTCTGTGAGGACATACCACAATATCCTCACACAGCTCTCAATATTTTTACATGGGCATTTGTTGAGCAATACAGTAATTTTAAAAGAATTTTGTAATTTATTTAGTCTTCCATAAACGAACAAAACACATTCTTCCACTTTATTGCCTCTGTGATAATGTTCATGGCTAAACAGTGTTTTTAGTCCAAATGCAAGTCTCCAAGTATCCTTACACTAGCACTATTTTTATTTTTGTTTGACACAAGTTCTTAATTAATTGAGCTTCTTGGTACTATAAGCCAGGGAAGATCAACTACATAAAAATGAGATGTCAAATGTTCCCCATACATCAGGCATAATGCTATTTTCATCCTATCTTTACAAGACATCAGATATGTTAATATTTATGGAGTATACACGGAGGAATACTGTTAGAATTAATAAATAATAAAGCTAATATTTTTTGCAAAAATAAATCATCAGATATCTCATTATAAACTGGATGTCTTCAGTTGTAGATAATTTAGTACAGTAATAAATAACAGGAGAACATGGTGCTGATGGAATTATATTTCATTATTTAAAATATCTTGCTACTCATATAAGAATGTATTCTTTTGTGTTCAAAGTCATGGAAATGGACAGAACTGGTTTAGAATTGAGAGTACTTCCAAACAAAAATGAGGTTGCCTTTAACATGCCAGCTAGATAGTACTGAATAGGTGTGTATAATACATACCATTTCTCAAATTGTCCTGGGATGTGTCTTTTTACTTCAAAAATCATGCTGGGATGTGTCTTTGACAAGATGTAGCTCTGAGAAGTTTAGCCCATTGTTCCTGCTGTCTCAACAATAATAGACTTCTGCCACCTTGAAAAAGGTGTGATCTCACACATTTTAACTCTGCAACTTTGAGTCTTACCTGCAGAAGGGAAATAAAAATAAGGGGTAAAGGTTTGGGGGTCTTTTTTGTTGAAACAATTAAGAGAAATTCTTGGTAAGACTGTATAAAGGTGTTGCATAAAAGTCTGTTGCACCTAACGATACAACAAAAACACATCGAAGAATGTGGTGAACGTTGATCTTTGCATTCAATACTATTAATAGAGTTTATGTCATTTCTGAGATATCTAGTCCCATGGTTCAGTTTTACAAAATCACTACCAAATTTGTGCAGTGCTGCCTTTGGATGGGGAGAGACTGACGTGCCATATTCAGTCTCCTGAGATCCTGTAGGATCAGCCCCTTCACTCTACTGCTGGGGTTTTCAAAGCATGGTAGAGAAGGCAGGTATTGACTTCTCATTGCAAGTCAAAGGGAACTGATGCTGAACTCTGTTAGACCTCTTCATTTGTAAAATCCCAGCCTGTTCTCCTTGACATGGGACATGTCTTCATTCGCTTTCTAATCTATGCCCAGTATGCATTGTACAAGCGTTAATTAACTGATAGTAACATAATTAAGAAAATGTTGCCATGGATCGTTGTAATTCAGACACTGCCAATGAAATAGAAATACAATTTTAAAACAGCAACTTGCTGCCAAGCGCAATGGAAATAGGAATATCAACATGAGGTTATGATTAAAACTGCAGAACCTTCAAAAGTAACTCATGGCTGCATTTTTCTTACAGCTCTCTTCCTTTGTCTATGGAGTTCCTAATCCATATGACTATGAGATTTACATACCATGTTAGTAAATCACTAAGCCCATTCTGCTATTGAATTTCTCAGTATGTGACTTAGTGAACTGGTTTTATGTCAAAAGCACATTAAAATAAGATAAGCCTAGACAGTATTTTCAGCCTATGACAGATAAGTTAACACCGTATTGTTTAGTTTTCTCCGTCTACACCTAAATGACAAGGTGATGATTTGTTTAAACATTAGGAGTTTTAAATATACACTGATCAAATATTATCTAAGAACAGCTTAAAGGGAAGTGGTACATAAAATCGATGATGAATTGATTAATTTACTTTACAAGTCAGGGACTTATGGGACTAGAAACTAAGATTAAGTGGAAGGCATAAACTAAATTATCCACCAGGTGGATTCCATTACATTTCTACGTCTGCAAAATTAAAATCCTGATAAGACAGACAGTAATGTTACAACAGACGGTAAAACACCACCCAGCCAGTGGGAAAGCAACACAATGTTGTTTACTTCAATTGCCATTGTTTTCAAGAGCGCAGTGACAGATTACACAGTGGGGATGTGGTTCTCCAAAACCTACAAAATACTTTCCTTCATTTTTTCATCATCATTTACTAGGCTGAGGTCTGGTCTTTTTAGCCCGTTGTAGTAACACTGTTGAGAGGGAAAAATCTCACAACACAGTTACGCTGAATTTTAATTGTACTATTATGCACGTGAGCCAAACTTCTATATCCATGAAACAAACTTTTAAACCAAGTTTGCTTTTAGCATGAAAGGAACAAATCCTGATAGGCTTTTAGTTCCAAGCTCCTCGAGATGCCCAATGTTCTTATTGGTGTCCTATATAGACCTCTTCGCAAGGACTCCCCTGGGGCAGCAGCTATATGGTAACTGAGACAAGACAGGCAGTGAGAACACTAGGGAAGAAGAAGAGAAATGGACAAAGAAACAATAAAAAAAAAGCCAAAACAAAACATTTTGCTTATTCTGCTTATGCTATAAGCTGCAAACAATGCAATTACAGGAACTTCCAGAGCTACTTTCAGTGCTCAGTGAGGTAACAAAAGGGGCCTGTAAACATGGCTCAGAGTCACTTGTTATTTTCATCTTTCCTTTATTTGCCATTGGACTCAACCAGGCAAAATGCGACGATGCAAAATATTGATTCTCACATTCAGAAGCTGGATCTGGCTTTTGGGATCTCTAGTTTCTGTATCTTTACCCATTTGAGGTTCAAAGTTCTCTACAAGGAAATATAAAGTCTGTCACAGAAACCACGATTCCTTATTTTGAGACACACCTGCTTGTCCTACCAGAGTCACACAAAGTATTTGAACCCAGTCCTGCATGGAACTGTGCACACGGAGCCCCACTGAAACTAACAGACCAGGCAAAACACAAAGTTACACCAGTAAGTGGTGTGGGACTGGGGCTTTGAGCATTATACATCTGCTTCTTCCCAGAAGATAAGCTGAAGTACATTGTCTTTTCCACCCGTGCACGGTGTGAAAACAGAGCTCAGGGGAGCAAGCATCCTAAAAAGATAAGTGACAGCATCAACAAGATGTCATTCCGGAGAAATATATTTTTAAGTCGTTCCTAAGTTCCCCTACGACCTGATGGCTAACATCTACAGATGACCAACAGGAATACAGATAGAATTTGTGCCAAAAAATTTGTTTGTTATACAGGCAATTTTTAAAGACATTACAGGAAAGATGACAAATTTGTCTTGATTGTGTTATCAGAAAGAGGATATTTTATGCATTTCTTTAATGTAAGAATTCAGTGTGTTTATCCAAGGTAAATATGCAAGCATTAATAACGTAAGAACACGGACATTGTTTGGGATTAAATTAAAACCATTTGCCTTATGCATGCTCATTTCCTTTTTTACTACTCAATTCCCCTACGATGCCATCTGATCACTTCTTGAACGTCCCCTGTGCTTTTGCCTTAACAATCTTGCCTGGTAGGCCATTCCACACGTTTGTGATTCCCGGCATGAAAAAAATGCTTCCTGACATCTGTTCTGAATTTGTTTCTCTTTAATTTCCATTTATGCTTCCTTATCCGAACATCTGTGTCATTCTGAAAACGGTAATTCAGATTGACGTTATCTGTGCCATTTAAGATTTTACGTTCCCCAGCTAAAAGCTCCTCGTAACCACGCAGTGTTTTTGTAGTTCTTACCGATAGTTAGTTTAGAAACATTTCCGAGTTGTAATTCATATGTTTTAGCTTATACTTTGGCTTTGTTGTTGGTTTTTCATGCTCTTTTTGGGCACGTTCCTTTCAAATCGAGGGCTAGCACTGTACTCACTGGGCCAATTTCAGCCCATAGGTCTTTCCCACAGCTGTTGTACAGGAAGAAAAGAAGTAGAATTAGTAGAATTTGGCCCAATAAGCTTAACGGGGTTATCAAGAGGACTGTATATTATGCTAATTCCTGCTGTGGGTTAATAGCATGCCTTTGGTAGCTCTACAGATCTGGCACTTAGGAAATTTTTCAACTGTTTCTCCCAATGGCTTAAACACAGAGGCTGGGGGACCAAATTGTACTCGGTGAATATTATGGTTTGATAGTTTCACCCCATTTTGTCCAGACAGTCAGAGAGGTAAAAAGATTACGAAAATTACATTTCTCTCAAGTCTACAAAAGAATCTGGGACTCTTTTTCTATTCCTTTAAATCCTCAAGACTGGGACTCGAGTATCTTCTTTTACCTGCCCTTAATGAAACAGATTAATTCCAAGAGATGAACTGCCAAGAGCCCAGATTCCCAATGAGGAAAGCAATTAACAGCATGTTTAACAGCAATTAGCAAACAGTCCCATTTTATATGGTTGGTAACTATGATTCAGAGTTTAAAATGTACACTTTCTAATACTAGAAAAAAAACAGAAGGCAATATGGTATAGCTGATTATTGAATCCAGACTAAGGGTTTGTGCTGGAGAACTTGAAACGTCAACTATTGGTCCCGTTTTCATAGTAGTAAAGAGGTATAATTCATACCAAGCTGTCTCTCAAGTCATACCCATTTTTGCTTCGAAAATACAAAAATTAGACTTGAAATTATGAAAGAATTAGTAGTACTTAAGGCATTGTTCTTCCCTTGCTTTTTCTTGACTGTTGAATTAGTATGTGTCCCAAAAGTGCTAGTGAACCGTAAAAGCGGTTCTATCTAGAAAGGTTCAAACAGTAATTGCTAACACTTAATTGCCCTGCACAAATTCCCTCCAAAATGCAACCTTTTACAGTGAGTATTTCTGAAAAGAAATGAGTATTTTCTGAAAATCGCAGAAACATCCCATTTTATTCTACCATGCCTACAGTGTTTTGGAAAATACACCTAGACACCAAGAAGATTTTGATACATAAGCTTCAGGTTCTCAAGTTTATCATTTTCTTTCTGGTTACAAGCAGATAATACACTTAGAAGCATTATTATTACATTTATTCCTTGTAACAGAGTAAGAAAATAAGAACAGTCTGTTTCTCTATACTTAGAAAGAGTGCATCTTCAGTCTAACTAGGTTACCCAGGTTTTCGTAATGAAAAACTCCTTGTTCATCATTCAAAAACTGTTTATGCTACATAGTAAAAAAGAAGCTAAAGGCGACATTAATCTTATTTTATAAATGATTACCTTGATTCATTCATCTAGATGAAGTAGTAGGCTTTGAAATACCCAAATATGATCCAGCTTATGTCTCTAGAATATGTCCAATGAGAGTTAAAAAAAAAATAAAAAATCACAAGATAGTCTGCAAGTAAACATGGTGGAGGCGTGTGTGAATGCATGTAGGAGAGGAGACTGAATTAAAAAATGAGGTACTCAACAAGTAACGTGTCACTTAAAACCTGTTTCACATCTCAGTAAAAATCCTACTCTCTGTAGCCAGCAGAGAACTGCATATTGAGCACACTAATGGGGGAAAGGTGGAAGAGGAAAGAACTGGTATCAGTATCTATTTTAATTAAAGGTGAGTTGGGAAGAATTTTTACATATTATTTACAATTAGTGCAGATTCCTTTCCTTTAAACAGGGATTGCTAACAGTAAACGTGGCATTCTAACTATGTCTGCTGAAGAGCATGAAGAAACAGTCCTCATTATTTTCTCAAATAGAATGAGACAATTAATTTCCATCATGTCTTTTAGGTTGCTTAATTTAGGCAAAGAAAAAAAGGTATTCTCTTAAAATGTTTGATATTCTGGAACACAATAGAAACTCCTGTACTTCC